TGGAAAGCGGGAGAATGGGGCGAGGTGATGGAAAGCGGGAGAATGGGGCGGGGTGATGGAAAGCGGGAGAATGGGGCGGGGTGATGGAAAGCGGGAGAATGGGGCGAGGTGATGGAAAACGGGAGAATGGGGTGGGGTGATAGAAAGCGGGATAATGCCGCGGGGTGATGGAAAGCGGGAGAATGGGGCAGGGTGATGGAAGGAGGGAGAATGGGGCGGGTGATGGAAAGCGGGAGAATGGGGCGGGGTGATGGGAAGTGGAAGAATGGGGCGGGGTGATGGAAAGCGGGAGAATGGGGCGGGGCGATGGAAAGCGGGACAATGGGGCGGGGTGATGGAAGGAGGGAGAATGGGGCGGGGTGATGGAAGGAGGGAGAATGGGGTGGGGTGATGGAAAGCGGGAGAATGGGGCGGGGTGATGGAAAGCGGGAGAATGGGGCGGGATTATGGAAAGCGGGAGAATGGGGCGGCGTGATGGAAAGCGGGAGAATGGGCGGGGTGATGGAAACCGGGAGAATGGGACGGGGTGATGGAAAGCGGGAGAATGGGACGGGGTGATGGAAAGCGGGAGAATGCGGCAGGGTGATGGAAAGCGGGAGAATGGGGCGGGGTGATGGAAAGCGGGAGAATGGGGCGGGGTGATGGAAAGCGGGAGAATGGGGCGGGGTGATGGAAAGCGGGAGAATGGGGCGGGGTGATGGAAAGCGGGAGAATGGGGCGGGGTGATGGAAGGAGGGAGAATGGGGCGGGGTGATGGAAAGCGGGAGAATGGGGCGGAGTGATGGAAAGCGGGAGAATGGGGCGGGGTGATGGAAAGCGGGAGAATGGGGCGGGGTGATGGAAAGCGGGAGAATGGGGCGGGGTGATGGAAAGCGGGAGAATGGGGCGGGGTGATGGATAGCGGGAGAATGGGGCGGGGTGATGGAAAGCGGGAGAATGGGGCGGGGTGATGGAAAGCGGGAGAATGGGGCGGGGTGATGGAAAGCGAGAGAATGGGGCGGGGTGATGGAAAGCGGGAGAATGGGGCGGGGTGATGGAAAGCGGGAGAATAGGGCGGGGTGATGGAAAGCGGGAGAATGGGGCGAGGTGATGGAAAGCGGGAGAATGGGGCGGGGTGATGGAAAGCGGGATAATGCGGCGGTGTAATGGAAAGCGGGAAAATGGGGCGGGGTGATGGAAAGCGGGAGAATTGGGCGGGGTGATGGAAGGAGGGAGAATGGGGCGGGTGATGGAAAGCGGGAGAATGCGGCGGGGTGATGGAAAGCGGAAGAATGGGGCGGGGTGATGGAAAGCGGGAGAATGGGGCGGGGTGATGGAAAGCGGGAGAATGGGGCGGGGTGATGAAAGGAGGGAGAATGGGGCGGGGTGATGGAAAGCGGGAGAATGGGGCGGTGTGATGGAAAGCGGAAGAATGGGGCGGGGTGATGGAAAGCGGGAGAATGGGGCGGGGTGATGGAAAGCGGGAGAATGGGGCGGGGTGATGGAAAGCGGGAGAATGGGGCGGGGTCATGGAAAGCGGGAGAATGGGGCGGGATGATGGAAGGAGGGAGAATGGGGCGGGGTTATGGAAGGAGGGAGAATGGGGCGGGGTGATGGAAAGCGGGAGAATGCGGCGGGGTGATGGAAAGCGGGAGAATGGGGCGGGGTGATGGAAAGCGGGAGAATGGGGCGGGGTGACGGAAAGCGGGAGAATGGGGCGGGGTGATGGAAAGCGGGAGAATGGGGCGGGGTGATGGAAAGCGGGAGAATGGGGCGGGGTGATGGAAAGCGGGAGAATGGGGCAGGGTGATGGAAGGAGGGAGAATGGGGCAGGGTGATGGAAGGAGGGAGAATGGGGCGGGGTGATGGAAAGCGGGAGAATGGGGCGGGGTGATGGAAAGCGGGAGAATGGGGCGGGGTGATGGAAAGCGGGAGAATGGGACGGGGTGATGGAAAGCGGGAGAATGGGGCGGGGTGATGGAAAGCGGGAGAATGGGGCGGGGTGATGGAAAGCGGGAGAATGGGGCGGGGTGATGGAAAGCGGGGGAATGGGGCGAGGTGATGGAAAGCGGGAGAATGGGGCGGGGTGATGGAAAGCGGGAGAATGGGGCGGGGTGATGGAAGGAGGGAGAATGGGGCGGGGTGATGGAAGGAGGGAGAATGAGGCGGGGTGATGGAAAGCGGAAGAATGGTGCGGGGTGATGGAAAGCGGGAGAATGGGGCGGGGTGATGGAAGGGGGTGAATGGGGCGGGGTGATGGAAAGCGGGAGAATGGGGCGGGGTGATGGAAAGCGGGAGAATGGGGCGGGGTGATGGAAATCGGGAGAATGGGGCAGGGTGATGGAAGTAGGGAGAATGGGGCGGGGTGATGGAAAGCGGGAGAATGGGGCGGGGTGATGGAAAGCGGGAGAATGGGGCGGGGTAATGGAAAGCGGGAGAATGGGACGGGGTGATGGAAAGCGGAAGAATGGGGCGGGGTGATGGAAAGCGGGAGAATGGGGCGGGGTGATGGAAAGCGGGAGAATGGGGCGGGGTGATGGAAAGCGGGAGAATGGGGCGGGGTGATGGAAAGCAGGAGAATGGGGCGGGGTGATGGAAAACGGGAGAATGGAGCGGGGTGATGGAAAGTGGGAAAATGGGTCGGGGTGATGGAAGGAGGGAGAATGGGGCGGGGTGATGGAAAGCGGGAGAATGGGGCGAGGTGATGGAAAGCGGGAGAATGGGGCGGGGTGATGGAAAGCGGGAGAATGGGGCGGGGTGATGGAAAGCAGGAGAATGGGGCGAGGTGATGGAAAGCGGGAGAATGGGGTGGGGTGATAGAAAGCGGGATAATGCCGCGGGGTGATGGAAAGCGGGAGAATGGGGCAGGGTGATGGAAGGAGGGAGAATGGGGCGGGTGATGGAAAGCGGGAGAATGGGGCGGGGTGATGGGAAGTGGAAGAATGGGGCGGGGTGATGGAAAGCGGGAGAATGGGGCGGGGCGATGGAAAGCGGGACAATGGGGCGGGGTGATGGAAGGAGGGAGAATGGGGCGGGGTGATGGAAGGAGGGAGAATGGGGTGGGGTGATGGAAAGCGGGAGAATGGGGCGGGGTGATGGAAAGCGGGAGAATGGGGCGGGATTATGGAAAGCGGGAGAATGGGGCGGCGTGATGGAAAGCGGGAGAATGGGCGGGGTGATGGAAACCGGGAGAATGGGACGGGGTGATGGAAAGCGGGAGAATGGGACGGGGTGATGGAAAGCGGGAGAATGCGGCAGGGTGATGGAAAGCGGGAGAATGGGGCGGGGTGATGGAAAGCGGGAGAATGGGGCGGGGTGATGGAAAGCGGGAGAATGGGGCGGGGTGATGGAAAGCGGGAGAATGGGGCGGGGTGATGGAAAGTGGGAGAATGGGGCGGGGTGATGGAAGGAGGGAGAATGGGGCGGGGTGATGGAAAGCGGGAGAATGGGGCGGAGTGATGGAAAGCGGGAGAATGGGGCGGGGTGATGGAAAGCGGGAGAATGGGGCGGGGTGATGGAAAGCGGGAGAATGGGGCGGGGTGATGGAAAGCGGGAGAATGGGGCGGGGTGATGGATAGCGGGAGAATGGGGCGGGGTGATGGAAAGCGGGAGAATGGGCGGGGTGATGGAAAGCGGGAGAATGGGGCGGGGTGATGGAAAGCGGGAGAATGGGATGGGGTGATGGAAAGTGGGAGAATGCGGCGGGGTGATGGAAAGCGGGAGAATAGGGCGGGGTGATGGAAAGCGGGAGAATAGGGCGGGGTGATGGAAAGCGGAAGAATGGGGCGGGGTGATGGAAAGCGGGAGAATGGGGCGGGGTGATGGAAAGCGGGAGAATGGGGCGGGGTGATGGAAAGCGGGAGAATGGGGCGGGGTGATGGAAAGCGGGAGAATGGGGCGGGGTGATGGAAAGCGGGATAATGCGGCGGGGTAATGGAAAGCGGGAAAATGGGGCGGGGTGATGGAAAGCGGGAGAATTGGGCGGGGTGATGGAAAGCGGAAGAATGGGGCGGGGTGATGGAAAGCGGGAGAATGGGGCGGGGTGATGGAAAGCGGGAGAATGGGGCGGGGTGATGGAAAGCGGGAGATTGGGGCGGGGTAATGGAAAGCGGGAGAATGGGACGGGGTGATGGAAAGCGGAAGAATGGGGCGGGGTGATGGAAAGCGGGAGAATGGGGCGGGGTGATGGAAAGCGGGAGAATGGGGCGGGGTGATGGAAAGCAGGAGAATGGGGCGGGGTGATGGAAAACGGGAGAATGGAGCGGGGTGATGGAAAGTGGGAAAATGGGGCGGGGTGATGGAAGGAGGGAGAATGGGGCGGGGTGATGGAAAGCGGGAGAATGGGGCGAGGTGATGGAAAGCGGGAGAATGGGGCGGGGTGATGGAAAGCGGGAGAATGGGGCGGGGTGATGGAAAGCGGGAGAATGGGGCGAGGTGATGGAAAGCGGGAGAATGGGGTGGGGTGATAGAAAGCGGGATAATGCCGCGGGGTGATGGAAAGCGGGAGAATGGGGCAGGGTGATGGAAGGAGGGAGAATGGGGCGGGTGATGGAAAGCGGGAGAATGGGGTGGGGTGATGGAAAGCGGGAGAATGGGGCGGGGTGATGGAAAGCGGGAGAATGGGGCGGGATTATGGAAAGCGGGAGAATGGGGCGGCGTAATGGAAAGCGGGAGAATGGGGCGGCGTAATGGAAAGCGGGAGAATGGGCGGGGTGATGGAAACCGGGAGAATGGGACGGGGTGATGGAAAGCGGGAGAATGGGGCGGGGTGACGGAAAGCGGGAGAATGGGGCGGGGTGATGGAAAGCGGGAGAATGGGGCGGTGTGATGGAAAGCGGAAGAATGGGGCGGGGTGATGGAAAGCGGGAGAATGGGGCGGGGTGATGGAAAGCGGGAGAATGGGGCGGGGTGATGGAAAGCGGGAGAATGGGGCGGGGTGATGGAAAGCGGGAGAATGGGGCGGGGTGATGGAAAGCGGGAGAATGGGGCGGGATGATGGAAGGAGGGAGAATGGGGCGGGGTTATGGAAAGAGGGAGAATGGGGCGGGGTGATGCAAAGCGGGAGAATGCGGCGGGGTGATGGAAAGCGGGAGAATGGAGCGGGGTGATGGAAAGTGGGAGAATGGGGCGGGGTGACGGAAAGCGGGAGAATGGGGCGGGGTGATGGAAAGCGGGAGAATGGGACGGGGTGATGGAAAGTGGGAGAATGCGGCGGGGTGATGGAAAGCGGGAGAATAGGGCGGGGTGATGGAAAGCGGGAGAATAGGGCGGGGTGATGGAAAGCGGAAGAATGGGGCGGGGTGATGGAAAGCGGGAGAATGGGGCGGGGTGATGGAAAGCGGGAGAATGGGGCGGGGTGATGGAAAGCGGGAGAATGGGGCGGGGTGATGGAAAGCGGGAGAATGGGGCGGGGTGATGGAAGGAGGGAGAATGGGGCGGGGTGATGGAAGGAGGGAGAATGAGGCGGGGTGATGGAAAGCGGAAGAATGGTGCGGGGTGATGGAAAGCGGGAGAATGGGGCGGGGTGATGGAAGGGGGGATTGGGGCGGGGTGATGGAAAGCGGGAGAATGGGGCGGGGTGATGGAAAGCGGGAGAATGGGGCGGGGTGATGGAAATCGGGAGAATGGGGCAGGGTGATGGAAGTAGGGAGAATGGGGCGGGGTGATGGAAAGCGGGAGAATGGGGCGGGGTGATGGAAAGCGGGAGAATGGGGCGGGGTAATGGAAAGCGGGAGAATGGGACGGGGTGATGGAAAGCGGAAGAATGGGGCGGGGTGATGGAAAGCGGGAGAATGGGGCGGGGTGATGGAAAGCGGGAGAATGGGGCGGGGTGATGGAAAGCAGGAGAATGGGGCGGGGTGATGGAAAACGGGAGAATGGGGCGGGGTGATGGAAAGCGGGAGAATGGGGCGGGGCGATGGAAAGCGGGACAATGGGGCGGGGTGATGGAAGGAGGGAGAATGGGGCGGGGTGATGGAAGGAGGGAGAATGGGGCGGGGTGATGGAAAGCGGGAGAATGGGGCGGGGTGATGGAAAGCGGGAGAATGGGGCGGGATTATGGAAAGCGGGAGAATGGGGCGGCGTAATGGAAAGCGGGAGAATGGGCGGGGTGATGGAAACCGGGAGAATGGGACGGGGTGATGGAAAGCGGGAGAATGGGACGGGGTGATGGAAAGTGGGAGAATGGGGCGGGGTGACGGAAAGCGGGAGAATGGGGCGGGGTGATGGAAAGCGGGAGAATGGGGCGGTGTGATGGAAAGCGGAAGAATGGGGCGGGGTGATGGAAAGCGGGAGAATGGGGCGGGGTGATGGAAAGCGGGAGAATGGGGCGGGGTGATGGAAAGCGGGAGAATGGGGCGGGGTGATGGAAAGCGGGAGAATGGGGCGGGATGATGGAAGGAGGGAGAATGGGGCGGGGTTATGGAAAGAGGGAGAATGGGGCGGGGTGATGCAAAGCGGGAGAATGCGGCGGGGTGATGGAAAGCGGGAGAATGGAGCGGGGTGATGGAAAGTGGGAGAATGGGGCGGGGTGACGGAAAGCGGGAGAATGGGGCGGGGTGATGGAAAGCGGGAGAATGGGACGGGGTGATGGAAAGTGGGAGAATGCGGCGGGGTGATGGAAAGCGGGAGAATAGGGCGGGGTGATGGAAAGCGGGAGAATAGGGCGGGGTGATGGAAAGCGGAAGAATGGGGCGGGGTGATGGAAAGCGGGAGAATGGGGCGGGGTGATGGAAAGCGGGAGAATGGGGCGGGGTGATGGAAAGCGGGAGAATGGGGCGGGGTGATGGAAAGCGGGAGAATGGGGCGGGGTGATGGAAGGAGGGAGAATGGGGCGGGGTGATGGAAGGAGGGAGAATGAGGCGGGGTGATGGAAAGCGGAAGAATGGTGCGGGGTGATGGAAAGCGGGAGAATGGGGCGGGGTGATGGAAGGGGGTGAATGGGGCGGGGTGATGGAAAGCGGGAGAATGGGGCGGGGTGATGGAAAGCGGGAGAATGGGGCGGGGTGATGGAAATCGGGAGAATGGGGCAGGGTGATGGAAGTAGGGAGAATGGGGCGGGGTGATGGAAAGCAGGAGAATGGGGCGGGGTGATGGAAAGCGGGAGAATGGGGCGGGGTAATGGAAAGCGGGAGAATGGGACGGGGTGATGGAAAGCGGAAGAATGGGGCGGGGTGATGGAAAGCGGGAGAATGGGGCGGGGTGATGGAAAGCGGGAGAATGGGGCGGGGTGATGGAAAGCAGGAGAATGGGGCGGGGTGATGGAAAACGGGAGAATGGAGCGGGGTGATGGAAAGTGGGAAAATGGGGCGGGGTGATGGAAGGAGGGAGAATGGGGCGGGGTGATGGAAAGCGGGAGAATGGGGCGAGGTGATGGAAAGCGGGAGAATGGGGCGGGGTGATGGAAAGCGGGAGAATGGGGCGGGGTGATGGAAAGCGGGAGAATGGGGCGAGGTGATGGAAAGCGGGAGAATGGGGTGGGGTGATAGAAAGCGGGATAATGCCGCGGGTTGATGGAAAGCGGGAGAATGGGGCAGGGTGATGGAAGGAGGGAGAATGGGGCGGGTGATGGAAAGCGGGAGAATGGGGCGGGGTGATGGGAAGTGGAAGAATGGGGCGGGGTGATGGAAAGCGGGAGAATGGGGCGGGGCGATGGAAAGCGGGACAATGGGGCGGGGTGATGGAAGGAGGGAGAATGGGGCGGGGTGATGGAAGGAGGGAGAATGGGGCGGGGTGATGGAAAGCGGGAGAATGGGGCGGGGTGATGGAAAGCGGGAGAATGGGGCGGGATTATGGAAAGCGGGAGAATGGGGCGGCCTGATGGAAAGCGGGAGAATGGGCGGGGTGATGGAAACCGGGAGAATGGGACGGGGTGATGGAAAGCGGGAGAATGGGACGGGGTGATGGAAAGCGGGAGAATGCGGCAGGGTGATGGAAAGCGGGAGAATGGGGCGGGGTGATGGAAAGCGGGAGAATGGGGCGGGGTGATGGAAAGCGGGAGAATGGGGCGGGGTGATGGAAAGCGGGAGAATGGGGCGGGGTGATGGAAAGCGGGAGAATGGGGCGGGGTGATGGAAGGAGGGAGAATGGGGCGGGGTGATGGAAAGCGGGAGAATGGGGCGGAGTGATGGAAAGCGGGAGAATGGGGCGGGGTGATGGAAAGCGGGAGAATGGGGCGGGGTGATGGAAAGCGGGAGAATGGGGCGGGGTGATGGAAAGCGGGAGAATGGGGCGGGGTGATGGATAGCGGGAGAATGGGGCGGGGTGATGGAAAGCGGGAGAATGGGCGGGGTGATGGAAAGCGGGAGAATGGGGCGGGGTGATGGAAAGCGGGAGAATGGGACGGGGTGATGGAAAGTGGGAGAATGCGGCGGGGTGATGGAAAGCGGGAGAATGGGGCGGGGTGATGGAAAGCGGGAGAATAGGGCGGGGTGATGGAAAGCGGGAGAATGGGGCGGGGTGATGGAATGAGGGAAAATGGGGCGGGGTGATGGAAGGAGGGAGAATGGGGAGGGGTGATGGAAAGTGGGAGAATGGGGCGGGGTGATGGAAAGCGGGAGAATGGGGCGGGGTGATGGAAAGCGGGAGAATGGGGCGGGGTGATGGAAAGCGGGAGAATGGGGCGGGGTGATGGAAAGCGGGAGAATGGGGCAGGGTGATGGAAGGAGGGAGAATGGGGCGGGGTGATGGAAAGCGGGAGAATGGGGCGGGGTGATGGAAGGAGGGAGAATGGGGCGGGGTGATGGAAAGCGGGAGAATGGGGCGGAGTGATGGAAAGCGGGAGAATGGGGCGGGGTGATGGAAAGCGGGAGAATGGGGCGGGGTGATGGAAAGCGTGAGAATGGGGCGGGGTGATGGAAAGCGGGAGAATGGGGCGGGGTGATGGAAAGTGGGAGAATGGGGCGGGGTGATGGAAAGCGGAAGAATGGGCGGGGTGATGGAAAGCGGGAGAATGGGGCGGGGTGATGGAAAGCGGGAGAATGGGACGGGGTGATGGAAAGCGGGAGAATGCGGCGGGGCGATGGAAAGCGGGAGAATGGGGCGGGGTGATGGAAAGCGGGAGAATAGGGCGGGGTGATGGAAAGCGGGAGAATGGGGCAGGGTGATGGAAAGCGGGAGAATGGGGCGGGGTGATCGAAAGCGGGAGAATGTGGCAGGGTGATGGAAGGAGGGAGAATTGGGCGGGGTGATGGGAAGCGGGAGAATAAAGCAAGGTGATTGAAAGCGGGAGAATGGGGCGGGGTGATGGAAAGCGGGAGAATGGGGCGGGGTGATGGAAAGCGGGAGAATGGGGCGGGGTGATGGAAAGCGGGAGAATGGGGCGGGGTGATGGAAAGCGGGAGAATGAGGCGGGGTGATGGAAAGCGGGAGAATGGGGCGGGGTGATGGAATGCGGGAGAATGGGGTGGGGTGATGGAAAGCGGGAGAATGGGGCGGGGTGATGGAAAGCGGGAGAATGGGGCGGGGTGATGGAAAGCGGGAGAATGGGGCGGGGTGATGGAAAGCGGGAGAATGGGGCGGGGTGATGGAAAGCGGGAGAATGGGGTGGGGTGATGGAAAGCGGGAGAATAGGGCGGGGTGATGGAAAGCGGGAGAATGGGGCGGGGTGATGGAAGGAGGGAGAATGGGGCGGGTTGATGGAAGGAGGGAGAATGGGGAGGGGTGATGGAAAGCGGGAGAATGGGGCGGGGTGATGGAAAGCGGGAGAATGGGGCGGGGTGATGGAAAGCGGGAGAATGGAGCGGGAGAATGGAGCGGGGTGATGAAAAGTGGGAGAATGGGGCGGGGTGATGGATGGAGGGAGAATGGGGCGGGGTGATGGAAAGCGGGAGAATGGGGCGGGGTGATGGAAAGCAGGAGAATGGGGCGGGGTGATGGAAAGCGGTATAATGCGGCGGGGTGATGGAAAGCGGGAGAATGGGGCGGGGTGATGGAATGCGGGAGAATGGGGCAGGGTGATGGAAGGAGGGAGAATGGGGCGGGGTGATGGAAAGCGGGAGAATGGGGCGGGACGATGGAAAGCGGAAGAATGGGGCAGGGTGATGGAAAGTGGGAGAATGTGGCGGGTGTTGGACGCACGTCATTCTGAGTGCATGTCATCCTAACGTCCTGCCGAGTGCTCGTGCTATTCATGCGTGCATTGTTTGCATGAGCATATGTCATTGTGCATGGCTGTTGGATATTATCATCTCTGTGTTTTCTCCAAGTTTAAATGCTTGATCATGCAGGAGAAATCCAGAGCTTTCCAACGATACCAAGATCGCCTTATTCCGACCAAGATCGCCCAAGTTACAAGATTTCCAAGCTTTGGGAATTCTATCTCTTTTTGAGATATTATCAACATTGGGCGATTATTGGGACATGACTATAAAGGGATCTTTGGTTGGGTGGTTAGGAAGCCAAGTTTGACTTTTGGATTGGGGTGGCTAGAAGTTTCTAGCATGGGTTGCAAATGTTGCAACACCTAGGCAAAATCCAACTAGATTGGATTTTGCATGTGACACCTCAAGGACCTCATGATGAGGGTTGCATCCTTGCTGCTAGGAAGGTTCTTACCATCCTTCCCTAGCTCTTGGAGAACCTCTCCCCTCTCATGGTTCTCTTGGAGTCCCCAACTCCAACTTCCTATGCCTACATGCTTGTACTTCCTCCACCATTCTAGTTATGCGGCTGCTGGACGTTTTTACTTAGTTCTCACTCTATAGACCATTTTAACAACTGATTCAACTTGGAGATGGTAGCTAAGCCTAAGGCGCAACTTCCTACCGAGCGGATTTGCGTTTAGTTGAGAAATGAGTTCGTCGTAAGCTCTCAAAGTGACGGATCCTGAACAACAAGTGGTATCAGAGCGGGTAGTCGACTTTGAGACGACGAATCGCAGTCAATTCTCAACCAATGTTGACGAGTGAGACCAGTTTCGAGTAGCCCGGCTTGCGAACTTTCGATTGGTGGTCGAACCGCGTTCTAATTCGAAGTATCCAGTCCGCGACGGCGTTTTTCGTAAAGTCGAAATTTCTGGCCGAATTCTCTCCAAACGATTTCTCAAGTTTCCACCGTTCATAAGGCCTCAATATGACGGGTACGGACTCCGGAGGTGCTAATGGCGAGATGGCTAGAGGTAGAGAGGCTGGAGAGCAGGGGGGAGTTGCTGGTGTCGGAGTGGGGACTCACCAACCAGCCAACCCTACGCTACCCTCAACTTCTACACCATCTCCTACAACCGTGGATCCTGTGAAGGCTTTCTCTATTGAGAAATTCATGGGGGAGGACTACGAGCACTGGAGCTTCCGCATGAGGCTGATGTACACCCAATACAAGCTATTGGATCTGGTGGAGGGGAAGGAGAAGATGCCGGAAGCCGCGGAGCTGAAATGAGCGTGGATGAAGCGATCGTTCGACGCGTACATGCTCATGGTGCAAGCGGTTGGCGGACGACAACTTGACCACATCAAGGACCTCTTGGGTGATCCAGAGTGTGGCCCCAAGGCTTGGAGGAAGCTTCTGGATGTGCACTCACCGACACATGCTACCGGCATCGTGCTACTCGCGCGGCGGCTGCGCGACATCAAGTTCGTTGATGGAGAGCCGATGCAACCGGTGTTGGATGAGATGCGGGACATCTTCACGAAGCTCCAAGGCGGCGGTGTGGTGTACCCGGAGCTCGTGCAATGCGTGGAGATCGTGATACGGCTGCCGGAGTCGTGGTCTGCCCTAGCGATCAACCTCAACTCTCAACAGCCCCAGTGGAGCATGGATTACATTCGCGCGCGCATCCTTGAGGAGGACTTGCGGCGGCGGAGTGTGGAGCGCTCGGAGGAGGGGGCTGGCTATGGAGTTGGAGGTGGAAAGAGTGGCTTCAAGAAGAAGTGGAAGGGCAAGAACAAGGACAACCCTAAGGAGGATGGCGGCGGGGGTCAAGGGGAGGTGTGCTTCTACTGCAAGAAGCGCGGACATCGTTGGCGGAAGTGCTACCAACGACCCAATGATTGGACCCCGCCTTCATCAAGCAACCAGCGTGGTGGCACGAGGAGTGGGGGAGTGATGGGAGCTAGTGGAGAGGAGAAGGATGAGGAGAAAGGCGGCAAATCTGAGGAGCGGAAGGCCGGGTTCTTCTTCTTCGTGAATGAAGGCGCAACCGACCTTGCTATGGCTGCCAAGGTTCTCCTACACCCCCTTACCCATTGGGTGATTGACTCCGGGAGCTCTTGGCACATGACTCCTCGTGCGGACCTACTCGATGAGATTCAGCCCGCACCCATCTCTACAGTCACATCCGCGACGGGCGCCAAGGCCGAGGTCATGGGCATGGGATGCGCCAAGTTCATGGGAGCGGATGGAGAGCTCGTGGGGCTGAAGAACGTGCTGTGGGTGCCGGACTTGTGCGCGAACCTGATTTCTACCGGCCGGTTGGGAGATGCGGGTGTGAACACCGAGACGATTGGCTCGGAGCGCTATCGTGCCGACAACGACGAGCGGCTGATTTGGGACCTACAACGGAAAGGGGATGTCCACAAGCGGATGTGGCAGATCCCGGTCCTCCCTTGGCGGAAATCGGGCAAGGCGGCAGCGGCGGCATCTATGGAGGAGAGCGTCACCGAGGAGGAGCAGCAAGGTGTGCAAGGAGAGGAGCTGATTGGAGGAAGCGCGGCAGTGAAGGCGTCGGCTACATCGGGCCAAGCGGATTGGGAGACTTGGCATCGGCGGCTCGCACACGTAGCTGTTTCCACATTGGAGGTGATGCACAAGGAGAAGTGCGTGCATGGGCTGCAACTGCAAGGAGATGGCGCTCACTATGGCAGCTGCGAGGCGTGCATGCA